GAAAAGCAAGTTGAAAGGAAATAATTCAAGCCTGATTTGAAATGGAAATCACAGTAACATGTCTGAGAAACTACTTTTTTCCCCTCTGTCCTTGTTTATGTATTTTAGAGTAAAAATAGACTGAATTTAGTTTGGGGGCCTCTTGTATTTCCTTATCCTTACAACTGATTGCATTCTAGTGACTGGAAAATATAGCAGTACTGACAGGCTTTCTTCTTAGGGCGAGATGGATATCAACCAGCTGGTGTAGATGGAGTTATGAATCCCACCGAAACCAAACTTATTTCAGAACAGTGGCCTCTAGGCTGTTTTTCTGTTACAAACAAGAAAGGCCAGGGCCTCCAGCCATTTTATTTTTAGCTGCTTAATTCTGGTCATAGAGGTATATACCTCAAGGGCACAGATCGCTCTATTAAGGAGAGGTATGATTTCAACAGCCTGAATTCCTTCAATATGTACTCTGGTGGCTGATACATTTTCAGAACTGATCTGAAGTAGGTTTTATGCATTCATAGTGACAGCTTTTTATCAAATTGTCAGCTGAGCCCAAGCAGTGCTCTGCACTGATCAAATTCGGTTCATTGGGCAGGGTGGCAAAAGATGTGTTTTACCCAAACTAATACAGGAAAGACAGAGCTGGTCTCTCAATGTTAACACAATCATATGGGTAATACAGGCACAAGAGGACCAGGACTTGGATCAAGGCAACACTGCTGTGCTGTCCAGAGTTGCTCTTTGAACTACTTGACACTCCTGAACCAAGTGGCTGGCTTGAATGTATTCTTCTTGGCATGTTGGTATTTTGTTTGCTGTGGTAGTTGATATTAATTGGAAGAAAAATCAAAATATTTCTGCTTCTCAAGGTGTTTTGCTGAAGACCTTTCTGGAAATGACCAGAAAGATCCTGAATAGTAACTTTCTCCATAACTTTTTCAGCTGTGCCTTGACATCATAATTTGCTGATGTGATAGTATTTTTTCTAATTCATTTTAAGCCTCTCCTGTCATCAGGAGCACAGGAGCACTTACAATCATACTGAATTTAGCTGCCTGATTTTGGGTGGGTGAAAGAACAATAGCACATTTGCTGGAAATTTCTGTTTCCATCATTCTGAGACCGTTTCTGAATTCATCGAACTGGACCTAAATAGCTTCAGATGATCATAGGCAAGAGAAGAACTGGGGATTTACATGCTTAAAAACTTCTAGTGGTGGTGGTGTCCTTTTCTGCAGTAGACAAATGTTTACTCACTACTATTATAGTATTTTTTATATTAAAATTGGGAAAAGGTATCTTTTCTAGCATTTTCTATTAGGTTATAGTTTATTTGTATAGTTATGTCATGAAAACTGGACCATTTGTGGCTGGTTCCATAACTCAAAGACAACAGAACTTTGTACAAAACAGAAGGCAAGGGCTATGTTAGGAGAACTTCTAATGCAAAATTTGCAGATTTACCAGTTTGGAATTTGATTTTTGTACATCTGGGAGGTTTTGGTGGTTTTTTTTTGATTTTTTTTTTGTTTTGTTTTTGTTTGTTTTTTGTTTTTGTTTGTTTGGTTTTTTTGTTTTGTTGTTTGTTTGTTTGTTTTGTTTTGTTTGTTTTACTGCTTTTACAAGTACAGCAAAATCTTTATGGACTATAGCTACTTATGTCCAACCTGCCCACAATATCTTTCCTGCAGTCTATCTTTATAAGGAAAGTTTCAAGAGAATCTTCTGAGGATATTTTTACACAAGCTCTTTGGGCCTTGCAACTCTTATTTGAGGGTGCACTGTGGCTGTTGATATCATTTTAAGTGTAGTAAGTAAGTATGTCATACTTTTACATAGGCACTATAAGGTTTTAGGACACGTTTTGTTTTAGTCATGCCTGTCCCTGTGTGATTGTTTTTGAGGACATCTTGACTGCAGAAAGATAAGCTATGACACAAACCTAGATGTGCTATAGACAAAATCACTCCTTAAATGGGGAAGAAGAAAAATATGCTGACTTGATTTGAAAGCTAAATGATATGCAGAAGGCAATTGTTTCTGCAGCATGACACCTTTGCTGTCAGTGCTGTTAAAGAGAGACAGCAATATGAGTCGGGAAGCCATTAACCATGGCCTGGTGAATGTACAAATACACGAGATGAGGAATATAGTTTTATCGCTTCTGACACCTTGCCAAGTTTAAAAGCACTCTAATTGCAGTTGATGCATGAGGTGGTGTTTCTGAATGTCCAGTTTTCCCTTCCATGCATCTCTCCTTGAACAGCAGCGTAACTGTCCTCAGCCAAAAGAGCAGCAGTTAATCTCCCAAACACTGACCTGCGGGAGTGAAACAAACATACACAGCATTTTTTAGTTTTAATATATGCTTTAAATGAAAACAAAAAAAAAAAAGCAAAAAGCAGCAAAAAAGTAAATAAATGGAAGGAAAGTAATTAACCATACTTCTTAATAGAAATATTTTAACTTACATTCATGGCAAATACTAAGATTAGTGTGCAGCAGGAAAACTATCAATCTACTTTCCTCCAAAATGTTTGCTGCTGTTTCAACATGTGGCTATTTTTGGTGTTTCCTACCTGGTGGGAGGTCTGTCGGGGCTTTGTTCTGTTTATTTGGGTGGAATTTTTTTTATTTATTGGTTGGTTGTGGGTTTTGTTTTATTGTTTTTTGTTGTTGTTTTTATATTTTATTTTAGGCTTTAATAGAATACTTAATACTTAAAAATCAGCTTTAGCCCTGGAAAACAGGGTTTTCCTGGGGTAGCATATAAGATAGGTTATGTGCAATAAAGTTATGTTTCGTCGTAGTGCTCCTGCTTGTATAGACGATAAAATCAGGTTCTAAAGCAGTGAAAGGGAAACTGTGGTTTTATACTGTCCCTCTGTGCTTTAAGGCTTTGGAAACAGGAGGATAATGACTTCAAAAGCACTAAGGTGCAAGGTCATTACTGTGCTTTCCTTGTAGGTTTGCCTTCAGTTTTTCCCTTTCCCAGAGCTAATACCTGGTGTGATAATGCCTCTGGCTTGTACTTCCAGTGATAGAAGCATAAAGTTTGATGGCCATAGGAAAGTCACATATAGTCCAGAAACAGGACAGTTGGTAGAAACAGTGATTTACTACAAGGACATAGCAGCCAGAGGTTTTTACTTTTTTTTTTTTTTTATCCTAAGAAAGCAAGGCAACTTTTTTGTCCAGTTTTTAGTCTCATATTTTGTCCTACCAATGGCTGTGTATGCAATACTTGGATATGTAAATTTGGTAGGAAGGCACAAGCTTGGGACTTTGACCTTTCGATTACTGATTTAAGCCCCTTGAAGTGTCAGCCAACTGCAGCTGTTTTAAATTGAAGGAGACAGAAACAAACTTGTTTGCAGTGTGGGATGAGGAGAAACAAGTGCATATCCATCAGTCCCTTCTGCTTCATTTTGTCAACTGGCAGTTTTCTCCAAATGTCTTTTGGGTCAATCCTTTAGGACGCTTATGCCTAATCTCAAACAGCTTCAAATCCTGACCGCTCATATATCAAATGCCTGTGCTACTTTATCAGCCTTCGAGCTACTACAATACAAAGGAGCCTGGAAAAGGGCTGACTCAAATAGCTTTGTAATTGTCTGTGAGTCTAATAGCACCTAACACTTTGCTGTGAAGAATAGCTCAGTAGAGTTTTACAAGAACCTCAACGTTTTTGTTCTGTGTTTTGAAATAGTCCCATAGTTGGTGACATTAAGGTACTTTATGTTCCTTTAATTTAGAACTAGAATGGAACCTTCTTGGGGAATCAAGTTTATATATCTCTGATTCAAATATGACTGTATAAGCAATAAAAAGATCTTTCTTAGTGGAAGGCTTTTTTGGATGATTGGAACAAGCTTGTATCTCAGTTCTTCTGTAACTTAGAGCAGAGTTGGTTCATCCTGTCTACTGAATTTGAATCCTATATAAAAATATCTACTGAGTTTCTGAATTATCATTTCTCATTTCATTACTGTACTAGCTATTGAACTGAACTTTTAGGCCTTTTATTACATTTATGTAGCAAAAAGGCTTACTGAGGAACTCATTTGAAGGCATCTTCTGTTCTTTTGGATGCTGCTTTAACATGCTTTCCCACCTTGAAGTGCAATGCATTAGTGCGTAGGCGAGGGTTACAAAAAATATGCATATTTGTTGTGAATTTGAGGCATAACTTCCACAAAAGGTTTTACTCAGTCATCAACCCTAGATGTTTACCAGTAAGCCATTGATACATCATGTCTCTCAAATAATGCATGCATTTTTTTCAGTGAATCTGGGAAATAAACACCAGGAAATATCATTAAGAATTATTTGTTTTTCTATTTGTTATTTGCTTTTTCGGTTGTTTTTTTTTTTTTCTTCAGTTTAGAGAAAAAAAGAAGTTTACAAGTAATTGTCATTTATTGACTGACTTATGAAAATTACTTGCCACTCTTCAAGCTGTGGAACAAGCTTGTCTATGTCTACTATATATTAAAATACCCCAAATTTGGATCTTTAATGTTATGCTGAAGTTTTTAAAGTCTTTTAAATCTAATTTTTAGTTGGTGGTACTAGAGTGTGTAAAACTGACAAGCAAGGTATATTTAAAAAATTAAAAAGCTATCTATTCCAAATTCTTCTGTTTCTGGAATAAACCCGTTTCATTTTTCATCACCGTCTGTCTTCCTTAGGAGCAGAATGTCAAAGTCATTTAAGATAAGCCTTTCTTGCTGTATTTCTGAGTTGTAGGAAAGAGAGAAGTAATGCTAGCCTTGCTGGAAAGACTGCTTTTAAGGTAAATTGATCAGCTTTTCAGAATCATAAGTCTCAGTTCTATTTTCTGTTTAGCTTCACACATGCGTATTTCTGGTGCTTTCTGTAGAATTATTTCTTATCTCTACAGGAGCTTAAATTAGATTTAGTCCACTTAATATGAGACGGTGAAATGATGTTAATATGTATTTTGTCATGTCTTTGTTAACTGCATCTTTTTTGTGTGTTCTTAGGGAGAACCTGGTTTGCCTGGCATAGCGGGGGAGAAAGGAGCAGCGGGGCTTAAGGTTAGTACTGGAAATGGATTAAAAACAAAAGCACACGGTACGTGAGTGCATATAGATCACAGTTGTTCTTTCCAAGCAGTGTTTATATTCTGACTGGCTTTTAGTGATCTGTTCTCTCTAGTGATCAGCACTGTCAGAGGCTTTACACATTGCACCATAAAGAAGCATTATCTTCTGCTGTGCATATATAATTCCAGTCAGTGGCACTGACGCATATGCATCCATTGCCAAGTGAATGTAATATGCCTGCAAGTCTTTGGGAATATGGAGACCTTTTCAGAAAGGCTTTGTTTATGCTCTTTACAATGTGTTTCAGGCTTCAAGAGCTACTATGGTCAAATCTTTGATGAATGTCAGGGTTAAGTCTTGAGCGCTGATCCTGCTATAATGGCAGTCAGCAATAGACTGCACTAAGAACATGTCTGGGCCCATATTTGATGTGTCAGAGTCTCTCTTTGCATTTATTTTGTTGTTAAATGATTATTTTTCTGCTGTTTTGATATTGAATGAGTGGAATGGAACGTAAAGCTTATAACTCTGTATAAAAGCAAGCTCGATGATGTGATCGGTGGGCCTCTTGGAATGGGTAATGTTGAATTCTAATCCCATCAGCTGTGAGCATGTCTTTGGTGCACAAGTGCTCCTCAGCTGATTCTGTGCATCACACTGCTGCTGACAGACACACAGGGCAGGCTCTTTACGTTTACTGACTGGCTGCTTGTCCATCAGGGATGAAAACACACCATTTGGGAGCGTGACCCTTTCTTATTTCGTATACAGAAGCCAAATTGTGGCACTTAATGCTTAATTCATATGCACAGCTGTAATCTTCGAGTTGCCTAGCGACTGCCAGCCATCAGAAGGGGGCAAAGACGAGGCAGGGTGCATTTCTGAGCCAGAAACACAGAGATGAGTTGTCAGGATCACGCTCAGTGCACCAATCTGAGTTTGCCATTAAGCTAGTTTCTCAAATAAGTTATGATTTTAAAAATAGTGGCTAAAAGATCGTTTTCTTCCAGAAAATGTTAGAAGCAGTAAAGGCTCCTTGCTCTAAATCAGTTGTGAATTTGTTTGAGTCACTTAGGGCTTTCTGTTTCTCCCACAGAGTCTCCTAAGCCATTAATAGAGTCATATGACTTTCACCCTACATTCAGCCTGTAAATTTGTCTTTCATTTATTTCCAAGATAAGGAAAACCAAATGCAGGAGTCACCTCTGTCCCAGAAGGCCATCCCACAAAGACATGCACCTATTTGTGAAGGTTTAATCTAGAACAAAACAGAAAGAAAAACTTTGAAACAAAACAAAATTCTACACACAAATCCCTAATGTTTTAAAATTGTGCTGAAAATGTATTGTCTATTGAGTTCTATTAAATTTATTTATTAATGCTTATTGAAAATTTTGCTTTGGGTTTTTATCATTTGAAAAAGTGTCATCAATTGTGACTGATAATAGGACTTAAACTTGGAATTTTACTTGTGTTAGTAACTTATGACTTCTCTGCTCCACTTGCTTTGTTCAGGGTGACCCTGGAGAAAGAGGAGAAAAGGTGAGTCCTGTTCTACTTCCTTTGCTGCACAGCTGAGGAACTCTGCACCTATCCATGTCTAATGTTCATGTCAGAAAAAGATGAGTGACTGGATAAATGGTAGTGCCAAACATTTCTCATAACTTGGTTTTAATGCTCTGTTACCTGCAGGGAGTAAAAGAATTTGGTAACAGAGTGGTAATTACACAAACTCTAGATCATATACAGTCACACAGAGACAAGATGAGCTCCATGCTGCAAAACATGAGTGTGATTCTGCCCATATAAAGATACCAGTAGGAGCACTCATGTGAGTAAATACTTAGTGCAAATTAAACTTCTGCATCTCTGCAGAGGCAACCTGAGCCTTATTTTGTAAGCCTTATTTTGAACAAGTATCTTTACACAGACTCATCTCCTGTGAATAAATTGAGCTGTGCTTTTTAAAAAGTAAGCTGCTTGCATTCAGGTGTTATTTGCTCTTGAGAAGTGCTTGCTCATGTGGCTTCAGTTTTCAGCTACAATTGAATTTCACTTCCAGATCTGCGTAAAACCATGTATTACCAGTTGCAGTTCATGTATTCTAAAGCACGTTATTATCAAGGGAAATCTTGAATGTTTTTACCCTACATGTAGAATATATAACTAGGAATCTCTTTTCACAAAAATCAAACCTTTTTGTTAAAACAGTATTTCTGGTAGAACTCCAGTAATCCTTTGTTCATTTTCAAGCACAAAAGCAGTATGACAATACTTACCTGTACTGGATTTCTGTTACTTAAATTCATGATATTTCACCATAATCATCCATTATATTTCCCTAAAAAATGTAGTTGTAAATGTCGTATATGTACGTTATCATGTCAAATGGACTCAGAATGACATTCCCAGCCATTACTGTTGCACAACTCCATGACTCAAGCCCTTAATTAAAGACTTGCTTGTTTTTTGCTAGTTACCCTTGTATTGGTGACCATCCTGTACAAGTCCTCTGAGAGGAATTTTACATTAAGCTTTTCAGAGCAGGTGCTGAATTAATAGTGTTATTTGAATATTTTTACTGGTTGTCTGGCCAAGACCCACAAAAATGGTTGTGGCATATTTAGAGTCAATCAGTACCTTTGGTATTTTATATATTTCTTCCACTTGAGTCTCACAGGCATGTTTGGTCCTCATATATAACAGAATTTTTGGTTTACTTGGGTGTTACTATACTGAATTAATAAAAATAGGAATTTTGTATTTTTATAGATAAATCTTTTGAAGCATTTCTTTAAAAAGTTATTTTTAAAATGAGAAATATCTGCCCAGGCATAAAGGAGTGTTGTCTGAATATCACTTTTCTTAATAACATACAGCACATCAAATTTATGTAGAGATAAACATTTTGGTTGCTATCTGGAGGGGTGAGATCAGTGAAGGTTTTCTGGTTTGTGAATCATGCATGGAAGTACTTCAAACTCAAGCAGTTTATAATGTACATCATTGAAAATCTAATAAAAAGTATTGGAATTGGATAACTTACCTGAATTTGATTAGATATGCTTAGGTGAGTATCTCTGGAGAACTATGCGCCTCCAGTTTAAAATGCTGAACCATCATGAAATCATTCCTTCATTTCTAAACCACAATGAATTGTGTTGGTATGGTCTATAGACCATACCAACAGGAAGATAGTTATCTGAGAGTTTATATACTTTTGTGGGTTTATATGCAACAGATACAGCAGCTATGAAAACCACACTTCCTGCTGTGTTGTAGATGGATTGGCTACTTGATCAATAGAACTAACTTGCCAATAATGTTTGAATGCTGACTCCTCTCTGCACACTGTGTGTTTACATAAAATCATATTTTAAAATATGTATTTTCATTCCAGGGTGATGCTGGAGAAAATGGACCAAAGGGTGACACAGGAGAAAAGGTATGCTACTTATTAGTAGAGAGGAAAGCATGTGCCATAGATGTGTTTACAGTCTGATCAACTAGTGAAAATAAAAATTTGACAAAAGAAACTTTTTTATTAAAAATGTTGAGCAGTTTGACTGAATTCATTCTTCTAAACAGTGGGAAAATGTCGCTGTTCTGTTCCTGACTTTATGTAGCAGCAGCTTTAGATCAGAGTGCATCAGTCTCTAATCATCACTCCTCTTAGCTAAAATATGCATTGTTCAGAAAACTTAGTCACAATCTGCCCAGACTTTTGGTTCTGTGTCTGATGAGTTATATCTCTTTCTGGTATATCTTAGCTGTTAATGTTTCCCATTCTCTGTTTTCTACAAAGAAAAGGACTAAACTACTGTGATAGTTTACTGATTACTACTGATACTGTGATAGCTAACTTCCTTCCAAACAGCCAGATAAGCAATTGACAGTTGAAGATAAAAACAAAATTTTAGAAGATTTTACCAGATTATATCAATAACAACCTCACTTAATACCTTGTTAGCTCATTGTTGCAAAGTACCAATGGGGAAAAGTAGCTGACGTCATCAAAATATTGTTTTATTTAGTTTTTAATTTTATTTTATTTTATTTGAGATTTGTTCTGTACCCCTGCAGAAAAGATCGAAATTGAAATTGAGTGTTTGTGTTCTACGTATACAAAGAAACCCACAGTATGGGAAGAAGGACCAGCCATAATGATCTTCTCCATAATCTTTTGTATTCTTTGTGTATATTTTTGAGTAGAGATTGCATACAGCTTATTACCACCAATTTGGAACTCATATGCTTCTAAAAGCGTTATTTTCAGTGACTATACTTGAGCAGAAGCATAAAAACATTCTTGTCTCCCGCCCCATATGTTTAATTGCATAACCAACTCAAATCAGAGTGTAGCACAAGAAGTTTGCCAGATTTATCAACATAGTAAGCAATGCATGCAAATCTCTCAGGCCCTATCATTTGGAAGCAGTATTCAAGAACATAAAGTTATTATGGGGTGTATTCTAAAGTCAGGTACTAAAAATAGTCATTATGGATAAGAATAGTAAATTTTTTGATTCTCAGTTCATTTATAGAATACTTCCTCTGTAGTCATGTTTATTAGCCTAGATTAAAATCTTAAGAACCTTTTTTAGTTGCTTAGACAACGTATGCCAGTGAAGTCTTCTTAATCCATTTTTACAAGATTTAATAACATAATTTCTAGGAAAATATGAGATTATTTTTAAGACATAGTCCTGTAGCAAATAAGTGGGAAGTTAACCTCTTTGGGAAGACTTGGAAGTGGAGCTTCCCTTGTTGCTTTTCTTCTGTATCTGCTGTGAGAGTGAGTGAGCATGCACGCATTTGTATTCCCATGCTTCACCGTGGTCTGCAGTGCATGCATCTGACTGCTTGGAATCTTGTTTAAGGGAAGAAAAACTCTTCTACCTCTTTCACTGAGAAATCTTTTTTTTTTTTTTTTTTTTTATATATGGTGTTGTAACTATAGTGTTGTATATATTACTGTGAGCCTCAAAATGTTTGGGATCAAATTCTGAAAAAGTAGGTCATTGGGAGAACTTATATTTCTACATCTGAAGAAATATCAATAAATTTTTTACCATCCTAATACAGAAGTCTCCCAACTCTTCAAGGTTTCATGTAAGTTTCAGAGGTGCTGTGGTGACATGGAAATACATGCTGTTTGCATGGAGCTCATTGCTCTAACAGTAACAGCCGGGCATCCACCGCATAAATTCTTAGGACAGAATAAGCAAAACCGTGGCTTAGTTGGCCTTTGTTGTTTTTTGCCCACCCATTTTCCTTGCCTGTAAGGCAATCTGCCACCCAGGAAAAAAGAAATCTCTGTCTTATAGTAGAACTGCAAATTACTGTTTCTGAAAGATAGCTTTGGTAGGAACTTTAGGACGTTTTTCAACAGATAATATAGGAACTAGCATAAAACTCAGTGTCCTTACATTACATCTGTGCTATTTAACAAGGAGGATACTCTTTCCTGATCTTCACTGTAGGGCAAATATTGTGCTGTATGACCATCACGTAAAATTCAAGAATGAATTTGCCCAGCAGTTGTTAATTGCATTAGTGTTAGAGAATCTAAGAAAGCCTATTACAGTCATATTCAATATGTTCACAAAGTAGCCTTGATGTTTTGCTTTGTTGTTTTTTTTCCTCCGTGTATTTTTTTTTCTGTATTGCTTGTACTTTTTTCATTGGTGTTATAATTATCTTGAACAGTTACCCTTACCAGACTATTCTGCTATAATGCAGGATTTCAAAGCAGCACAGAAGCCTTTCTTCTGTATTTTCCTCTGGGTATTTTCTATCAAGGCAGGGAGGTTAATACAAAAAAATCTGACCTTTTTTTGTTGTCTTAAAAGGAGCAGTTGGAATCAAGACCAGCAAATCTCACAGGCAGCCTCATTAAAGCATTATTCTTATGTTCTTATGTATGCTCTCTGCTTTCTCTTTGGGTAGCTCTGAAATGTCCAGAGTGTGTGTTACTTTACAGAACTTCACTTCCAGATGAGTATTGAGAGTTTTTGTGAACTGAACACCTGTGGAGAGAAGTTCAAGACTTTCTGAGGCACTATTTTTAAAAGACATTTTAAGAAATCTGCTGGAAGTGTTGTTCAGAGATGATGTAAGGCTAGTATTGGTGCAGTTCCCAGATGTTCAGCCATTTGTATGTATGCTTCCTACTTGCTTGGTTTAAAAAAAAGAAAAAGCCATTTATTTTATATAAATAAATGCGGGGACCGTTACACTTAAATGATAACACTAGATGTTTAAGACATTTCATTTATAGATCACAAATTGTAAAACATTTCTTTAAAAGATTAAATCATGTTTCTTTAAAATAAATACTAAATTTTAATTTTGCTATGTGACAGAGGTCTGGTGACAACCGTTTTAAATTTTGTTTGAACAGGTTCCTATTTGTACAGTTAATTTAGCTTTACTTTCTGAACTGCTTACCCAGTGGCTATCAGAGATGCTGACTCGGGTCAATACTTTTTGACCCAAGATTTAGAAAGGAAACTGTCTTTTCTGAGTTGGCCTACTCTGAAGGCAGTATCAGTGTCAGACGTAAGTTCTTAGACTTAGCCCCTGGAAACTATCAAGTATTTTTCTTCTATGTGCACATTCCCCTGCTAAAATTTCTTCATTTCCAAATGGTCTGACTCATCAGAGAACAGAGAACATGCTGTGCCATATTTTTTCTTTTAATCCCGTATTAATTTTCATTCTTATGTGAAGTTGGATTATAAATACTTAATGCTCTTATCTCCCCATATCAATCATTATCCCTTAAAATGTTTAACTTGTGAACGTCTCTTACCAGTTGCTTTACCACTTTACAGCTATAAAAAGTCCCTGAAGTTTTGCAGTTGTACATGCTTGTAAGGGATATCAGCAGTATCACTCATGCACGTCTATCAAGAAGAGGCAGCTCAGGTTTCCAGACATGAATCAACCCTTCATAAAACTGACTTATTGTTTTTAACTCACACGAGAGAGCTGCAGCAACTGTGTAGAGGAAATTCTGTTTCTGTTCTTTAAAACAAAGTGAGCATGTTTTCTGGTGCCATTTAATTTTATTGGGCTATTACAAAAAATAACCTCCAAACCAACTCTAATTCTCCACTGTTCACAGAATGCTTCCTCCAGCTTCACTGAGCCATCAGGAGTGGGTACTCTGCTTAAACATCTTCAAAGTGGATAACAATGTTGGCTTCTATACTACCTGTCAATTGCTAACAGGCTCTTGCAGAGTTTGCAGTTACTGCCATCTAGCAACTTATTATTTTCAATGAATAATCCAAATTTATTTTGAAGAATAAAAACTAAGACAGTCCTTCAAATTTAAGTGCTCCAGCCATCTTTGGCAGCCTCTATTTTAACTACCCAGTTTTTCATCAGTTTGGTTTTCCCCATATTTATTTGGTATGTCATGTAGGGGAAAAAAAGTGCAGCAAACTGAGTATTTAAGAATTTGGAGGATCCTATTGTGATAATAACACAAACTGGGAGCTGAAAGCTTCCTTACCAATTCACTCAGCAGTTCTCTGAATTTGCGCGTATCACTACCTATCAAGCCTGGTCAACCAAGCAGAAAACAGCACACTCTTTCTGAAGGCAAGATGTGTCCTTAGAAGAAAGAGCTTTCCATATTACGTGAATTGCTGTAACTGCCCCATCCCATCATGTGCACCACTTAGCTGCATTGTCTTAACAGTCTAAACAGGCTGAAGAGCTGTGGAAATTGAGCTAAGACCTGTCCTGATAGTGATAAATGCATAGTTTGCTGATTTTTTTCAAAGCTCATCTTGATTTGCACAAAAGGCTATGTCAGTTGAGATTTGTAGAACCAAATCAAAAAGATCACTCGTAAATTGCAGTAAATGATTTTTAATGTATGTCAGCAACTTAGAGATGCCGAACTGTGTCCCATCTTCCAGCTTTTTAAAGAAAATCAGCAATTATTGTATCTGCATTTTTAGTTGTGAAATTTGGGTTTACTTAGTATACTTTTTGAAACTAATTCTCTCTGAATTTTTTTGAAAATAATATGGTTTCTTTTCTGAATCCTTTGATTTAATTTCAATGGGTAAGTTCCTATGTATCATCACAGAGAGCAGATAGTCTCGCTAAATAGATATTTTGCTCTATCATCTTGCTATAATCTTGCACGTTTTGCTGTATTTATTTCCTAAAATCTGCATATGTAATAAGCATGATCATTTCTTGTGGATTTTCTATCAGGGTGACCCTGGTTCATCTGCTGCAGGAATTAAGGTAATTAAGTGTTGAAAGCAATTGTGCAGGGAGAAGAGGGGTGGCTGATCAGTGTTACTTTGTTGTGTCACGAACGTTTCAGGTAATGTTACGATCTTCCCCAACCCTATTTTTAATTCCATTTGACGGATATCATGCCTTTCATTTCTTTTCTTTGTTTAGGGTGAACCTGGTGAATCAGGACGGCCCGGACAAAAGGTATTAGTTGGAAATGTTTGTGTTCTTTGTCTTTACTGTTGGATTGTGATAAGTCTTGTTATGTTAAACTGTTTTTACACTAGGATGAGCCCAATGTAGTGCTATGTAGCAGCTTGTACAGTATAACATATGATCATTTTGTATTATAAAAAGCACAGGAATGATAACACTAATTAGTGTGAAAAGCAGTGTCAGAATAACACACTTCCTAGCATCATAGCACTTCTTGCATTGAAAGCTTACCCAGTTGCAGCTGGCAAGACTAACAACAAATGGCTCTGCTACTTGAATGATCACAAGTTAACTTTGCATGTTTGACTGAGTATTAACCTTCAGCCTGTGGTATATTATTACATCTAATTAGGAAGAAAATAAATGTTGACTAGAATCCCTTTCCTATGTACTTGTAAGGGAAATCAAACTATCAGAGATGCGCAGTATGTGTGGGAGGACAGAGAATGGGTAATGCTGCTCCATTCTTTCTTCCTGGGGAAGAAATTCCCCTGGGTGCTGCATAGCTGATGATGTTTTTGCAAGTAACGATCCATCAAGAGCTGTAATCACTCTGTGCTGCATGAGGCCCTGTGAAGCTGGGTAATTTCCCTTTAGAATCCATAGTACATCAAAAAGTGAATGCTTTGCCTTCAGCTGCCTTTCAGGAGAGTAGGAGGTAGGTCCTGCTGGGAAAGCTGGTGGAAGAGCAAAGAGAAGAGACAATGAGGGTACCAGATTTTTGCTCTGCAATACTTGCTTTCCCCCTGGAGCCTTCAGCATCATTCTTGTATCTTATAACATTGAAAATTTCCCACTGCTGTTAGGGTGGAGCAGAGCCCAGTGGAAGGTTGAGTGTGCAGATGTTCCAGCCCACCAGCTGTATAGTGAGTGGCACGACTACTGTTTTCTAATACTCAAGGCCTTTAGGTGACTAAGCAAAATCTCAAAACACTAATATAAAATAACAAGTTGAGTCTTTTTGTTTGAGAAATTTTAGTTACCATCACTTATAACAGACTAAACAAAGACTGTTACAGTAGTAAACGCAGTTCTTTAGTAAAATAGAGTTTTAATTAGAGAAAGTAATCATAGTAGCCTAAAGCTATCTAGTCTGTGAAATCATTCAGCATGTGCATTCTCTACTGTGTGCTTTGCTGGAGCAATAAACTAGAAAATGCACTTAAGAGCCTGTTGAGATTCATTCTCTCATTAGCTGGCTGCCATGGAGGTAAAAGCAGCAGTGATTTATCAGCAGGCTCCTGCAGGATCTGTCTCCAGGCACTCAGGTTTGATCTCATTTACGTAACATAGATAAGTGAGAAGTACACAGCTCAGACTTTCTGTAGTGTCAGCTTGTTGTTTGCACCAAAGGGAGCTTAATGCGTTCTTTCCACATCACCTCACAAGATCCCAGTATGCCACCTCCCTGTCTCCAGCCAGGGCCAGCAGGTCCCATAATGTGATTGCTCTGAGTGCGTCCTCCAGCCAGGTGTCCCACAGTTACCACTCTGCCTTTCACCCCCCCCAGGAGCTGTGGAGACCTTTGTCCGAACAAACTTGTGTCTCATCCCTTTGTATTACATCTCTTCTCCCTCATGCCCCATTCTTTTTTTCCTTTCTGTATCTTCCTTCCTTACATATTACTTCTCCCTCCTCTTCTGGTTACTCCTTATCCATCTTCTAAGAACAGGTAAATATTGAGCTACCCACCTTAACAATACTTACATGAAATGAGATGTGTTGGTGCCTGAGTGGCCTGTCAAGGCTGTTGTGTGCCACATATCATATCACAACAGAACAAACTTAGTGTGATGAGAAGTTAGTATACAGCTTCTCCTTCTTTAAAAATTATTCCTCTCATAAATCATGCTTGTATCTTTCGTATTAGAAAAAGTCCACAAAATAAAGTGTTAAACACTCATCTACAATGCTAACTATAATGAAACATTCGTGATTTCATTATGTATGACATTCTTTGATGTATCTTGGACAGGCATCTTAAGTGTTTTAGATTGCTGTGAATACAAACTGGCTTTGCTGGATCCTTTCTGCTTGTTATGTTTGTGTCCCTAGGGTTTAGAACTGTCCCAAGATTAAACAGTCACCTACTGCAGCAATACTAATAGATTTATCAGTTGTGATCATTCATATGCTGTGCTTAGAATTGAACTTAGTGTTCCGCAGTTGGATAAGAAAAAGTCATGTTAGCAGTGTGGTGTGTGGCTGCCCAGCTGACTTGACAGAGGAGAGAGATTTTGGAGCCAGTACTTCATCAGGAATGGGTGTAATGAAGACTTTGTAATGGATTATTCTTTTGCAAGACTGACAACCCATTTCCTGCTTTACTAAGTGTTAGGCAATAAACCAAGATCTAGTGGAGTCTACTTAAAATTGTATCCTAGCCACCATTCTTTCATCTAATTTTATAGTTAATGTTTTAAGAGTGGATTCTTTCCTGTGCTTTTAGGTAGTCTGACAACTTAAAATGTTGGAGTAACTGAAATGTATTATCAGATCCTTCCATAATATGCAAAAGTTACTCTATTTGGTAAAGCAATTTACAGCCCCTGTATTGTGTTCTTCAGTTTGTGACAGAATATAATTTTGTTACTAGCACTTTGAGTCTGTTTAATACTACTGTCTCTAAGTAGGGTTTTTGGGTACTGTAAGAACATTTATATTATGCATATATACGTTTGTTTGTATGTATGTATCTATCTGTAGCTCAATGTACAAATATGTGTATGTGTGTGTATACACACAAGTAAAATATTATAATAGCAAAAGCTGTAGTCCTAACCACAGAGCTGAAATGTGGATTTCTATAAAGCTCAAGCACATACAAAATCTGGAATATAGTTCAACTCATTATAAAGGAAAAAGTTGGCTTCAGAGTTCAGACCGATTCCAGAAAGTTCAGGGAATATTCACAACCAAGGCATTGGTTTGAATCCATCTGTGTATTAAAGTAAAATCTCCAGCCTTTAAAATAATGTTTTCTTCACATGTTACTACTACTTTTTTTTTTTCTATTCATGATTTTTATTTCCCTAGATGACATCTTTCTGTTTAGTTGGTATCTCAAAATGGCCACGTGTCAGAATGCTGTGCTAGCCTTTCTTGTGTTAGACTAATATCAACTTTGCATCAAAGGAAATACATTCAGTTCTCAATCCTCGTTACTAATTTACCCTTTTAAATGCTGTGCTACAGGTCACTTTATTACAATTTTAAATAAGCAAGATATTTTTGGGTAAAGCAATACAAGGTTATATTATCACTAGCCTTCATGACACCATGTATATTCATAGATACATATCAAGCAGTGAAATAATGCAACAGATAGCTCTATAAAAACAGTGCTCCAGCTGTAATTAGGTAGTTCCGCTTGAATTGCCCAATTTAAACCTGAGTTGCTTGGTGGCTAAATCAGGCAGTCAGGCAGCACGACATCTATCTCAGAGTTGAAAATGGAACGGAATTAAACATCTGTCGTAAGCATGGAATTTAAATGGCAGCGTAGGAAATGAACCAATGTTCCTTGTTTTCTTCTTGTTTAGTTGCCAAAATTATGAGAATTCATTCTCGGTTTTTCTGATGTGGGTTTTGGTCTTGTCATAGCATCAGAGGTTCCCAGAAGATATTTAAATTCTTAAATGGTATGTTAGGACAGTTGCATCTAAATCACTAATTTTGAAAATATCAGTCCCGCTTGAACTGACTAGTAGTCACCTGTGCTCTTTTATTTTGCTACAGAATATCTAGGTGTGTTCACTGCATAGTGACCATAACTGAATAATGTCTGTAATATTATGCAATTTTCCTGTATAGGGTGAACCAGGTCTTCCTGGGCTTCCTGGACTCCCTGGGATAAAGGTAAATAAACTGTAGTCTCTGTGGTACTGGGGGGGCACCACAAGGAGGGGAGGGACTTCAAGGGTGAGACTAAAGTAATCCTACTGTGCTCATACAGCATCTGAGTCTCTGATATTGAGATTGTCTCTGATTAACACAGGAAGGTTTCGCATGGGAAATTGGTTTAAGTAATGAAACAGTATATCTTATAGTAAAATGCGAAGCAAACCATTGCCTTATCTAGGAAATAAAGATTCTACTGCTTAAAAATATCTAATATCGGTAGTCTTTTATATTTCTTTGTAATGAAAGAATTTTGTCATTTGTGACATTGTGATTGTACAAAGTTTTATTTGATTCCCATTTTGATGGCTGCTTTCCAGTAGCAGTAATCTTACAGAATTTACCAAGTCTCTCCAGCCAGCAAACTACATTCATTATACACAGACTGCAGAGAACTGGCTCTGTCAACAAAAATACTCTCTGCTCCATTACACAGAAATGATTTCCACTGTGAAGTCAAAATGTTTTAATAAGATTCTGTTCAGTATTAGTTACAGTCCCTGATCTAATACCTGGTTTAGCTCCTGGCTTCCGGTTTGTCTGGGATCTTTAGGTAAGTTGATGCAAAAGACATGTGGTTGGTTTAGCTCTGGCATAAGTGGTTGCACTGGGAGTTGCAGACTCTTAGGCAGTTTGAGCTGCAACTGTACAATGCTGTGCAAAGTCAGGATTTGCATATCCTGAGGGAGTGCTTGTTAGGTTGGCTGCTCCTCCTTTGTGGCAAAGATCCTCCTTTTGGAGGACAAAATCTCTTTGAAACTTTTTGTTTGCATTCCATCATGGGCCTGTGCATACCTCAGGAGATGATTTATATTGCTTTTCCAATAAAAAGAGGGATAAGCTGAAGGCCAAACTTCTGTCTGCTTCGATAGGATTCAGTATCTATCTTATGGAATGCAATATTTACAGTGATTTTCTCAAAGGACTTGTGAATCGCCACAACGTTCATGCATAATGTCCTTTCTGTGTTTCTAGTGAATTATGGGAATAATTGAAAGTGCATATTAAAGTTTGTGTATTGTCATACCTGAAAATATAGTTCCCAGGGTGGACATTCTTTTTCTGCAAGAATGAACTCTACATCAACTGGTAAAGATCATGTAGCTGAGTTGTGATGAAACTGTATTTTCAAAAGCATCTTCAACAGAAAACCATGGTCTGTTTGCTTTCCTAGGAAGCAAGGAGGTAGCTTAGCTGGAGGTCAGTGCCAGCATCCTGGGAACACTCACCAAAACCAGCTGGGGTTACGGCTGGTCTACGTGGTTTCCTGTTCATGCAAACTATACAGTTTCATTTATATCTCAGCATGGAACTTTAAAACAACTAAATATCTGATCTAGAATATTATTTCTGTTAGGCTTTATCTGTTGGTGGTAAAAGTGGCTCAGAGGGTGGCTTCCAAATCCACCTACAAGGCAAAATGTGAAGTAAAAAATCAAAGACTCAAAAGTCTTCTACAAAAGTTTCTGATGAGATCTCTTGCAGCTAAAAAGCATTAGGATTCTCACTGTGCTTTTTGATCTTTCTTCTGTCCACTTCAATTGGAGTTACAGAATATTCTCAAAATTTGCCTTCTTTGGATGTTCTAGAAATTACTACATTCTGTTTGTTTTCTGCTTAAGCAGTTTTGAACAGTTAGCCCTCATTGGCAAAAATGTCTGAAATATGTTAATTCTTCAAGGTGTACAGATTTAGCTTATAACTGTTCCCCAGCTAAGCATTCTGAAAATCAAGTAAATAAATAGCAAGTGTTCATTTCTATTTGATATACAGTGTCTCAAAGCACACAAGCGATTTTGAACAAACAAACTTGCTGTCTCAGGATCATGTTTACAGAGCTGTTATGTTCTAAACAGCTATGGAATTGTTGGATATTGAGAGTCCAATGCAAACAGACTTCTTCAAGGTATATGAGAAGAAACTGGGAAAAGGAGACTCCATGTTTCCCAATTTTCAAAGAATTTCCATTAGTTCTTTCAGGTAGAGAACACAAAATCAAGATACAAGCATTTTCTATACACAGGAAACTCTTAGGTGTAGTTCTTCTGGTCTTAGGTATTTATCCCATGACCATCCATTTAAGAAGTTGAAGTCTCCTCTGATCTATCCATTGAACTACAAATTTGCCTTCTTGTGAATGAAACTTTCTACAGTGGCAGTCTGTACTATGAAATACTTAGGTAACCCTGCACCTACGTAGCACTCCTTACAAATGTTAAAGCAGCCTGTGAAAACACAAATGCCGCAGCAAGAAGAGAATCATAGCTTTCCAGCTGCATCTCATCTTTCTTCTCATGGTTGAAGAAAATTCCCAAGGCATCCGGTCTAGTGTTCCTGAAAGCATATCCAGACTTCTTAAAGGATTAATAAATATTAATCACTGGAAAGTTTCAGCTTCTTGTAATGCCATTTCAATTAATTAATCAGTGTATATTCCCAGAAACCCATTAGAGCTTGGTTTAACATGACATTGGGATCCAAATGGATTGCAGTACTGGATGGACATGCAAGTATCACATCAGAATTCAGAATATGCAGCAGGGTTGTTATTAATTATTTTTCTAGACTCGTTCACTGTGTCCATGCGGATGTTTTGGGAGTTCTTCCTGTTCTTTTGCTGTCTCTCAGCATTGTCGTTTAGTGCCGTGGAGCAAACACAAGTGCAGTCAGTTATTTCCAAGACAGTGACGAAGCTGTCTGTGACATGCTGGAGAAGTGTTTTTCAAGCACCTGTTGCTGTTTAGGAATGGCTGGAAACTTAATGAGCCCCTGAATGTGTTGCACCATGTAATTTGGGAAGCGAGTAAGGGACCTAAGCACAGAATATTAATTCATCACTCTGATATCCCCCAACTGATGCTATGTAGATGCAGAATACCTTCTATGAAACACAAAATTTATATATCTGTTTTATCTCATAGCTTTTATGTGTACTAAGCAGAGGTAACAGTGGAAATCATGCATTCTCTTATTTGCTGAACTGTCAGACATCTCTCAAATCTGTGGTGTTGCATTTTCTGGCATTTAGGCAGTGCAACCTTCAATTTCATCACTGCAGAAGGAAGATTTCTGGAGATCACAACATTTTCTCAGCAACAGTACTGAATTTTCAGCAACATCTGAATTTTCTTCAATGTTTCTGCTCCAGTTCTAAAACAAATACTGAAACAAAGTTTGTGATTACAACGGAGCTTTTATTTGATTGTATTCAAGAAAACTTCTATTGGTTGATTTGTCACAAGAAGAGAAAATATCTCTAGTCTTCCTGCTTTGAGATGTAGGGGCATTTTTCTGTGCATTCAAATCCGGTGTAATTGGCTGACTAGACTTGCCAGTGTGCAGCCACCTGTATCTTTTTGTGTTTTGGACTGACTTCACTGGGTCTGTACCTGAGCAAGATTTCAGAAGAACCTGGATAAGAACACGGGTTTTTTGTTTTTTGGTTTTTTTGTTTTGTTTTGTTTTTTAGTGAAAAGCAGTTCTAATATTGATTTTTTTCTGTACTTAAATTTCTTTTTTTCTTTTCTCTTCATACTTAGAGCTCATCCTGTGTCTTTCCTAAAACTCCACAGAAAGACTGCAAAATTTTCTACTTCATAGAACTTTTAAAAGAAAAAAAAAGCCTCTAGAAAAGCTGATGCTCCTTTCATCCAGTGACTTCCAGTACAAAAGAAACCTCTCAGAGAAAATGAAAGGCAGAACTTTGAGGCTGGGTACACTGTATGCAGCTTGTATTGTAAAGCCATTTAAATTCTTCAGAAAAGAGAGTAAAGTGCTGTTGAAGCTTGGGTGTTTAGTTCCTGATGTTCTCTTTGGCATCTGATAGCAAAATGAAAGGAAATCTAAAGTAAATTGTGGTGTGAGGGTTGCATTTTGGAGTCAGCGCCATTCACAATGCAGAAAAAAATTCTTCAAACTTCTTTTTCTCCCAGGTGTTGTCAGGAAGGTTGAACTTCCCTGGTTTTTGTTTTTTACTTGTCAGTGACTGTTACCAGGAAACCTGTTCTGATTCTATTTCTTTCCGTTCTTCTCTGGAACATGGGCATTCTTGCCCAGGCTTCGATTAATCTCTCTTGTATCTATCACCATACCCACAACCTTGTAGCCTGATCTTGGGAGCTGGAAGGGGCCTGCTGACCTTGTGACAGGCATTTCTCAGTCCTCAATATGAAGATATACTGAAAATGCTAATTGCAACAATTGAAAAATGTGGGAATTCAAACTTTGCTTTGTGGAAGATTATGTTTCTCCCTGATACGTTTTTGCCTCAGCTCATATGTATGTTGAAATGTTCAAGTGTTAACTAGTTTCCAACCTTTCATCTCTCATATAAATTGCTCTCAAGAGTGGTTGTCCAAGTAGGAAAAAGAAACTGTGTAGAATTCGTTAAACACCAAAAAGTAGAATATAATGATATATCCTTTTAGCTGAAAATGGGAGCTAATCTAAAGAATAGGATTTAATACCTGCATTTGGACAGCTCATTTTTAGAAGTAGTTTTTCAGAAGTAGCTCTATGCATTGGTACATTTATTTGAAAAATTAAAAGACAGTAATGCCACTAACAGAATTCTGTTTCCAGAATGGAAGTATATAAACACATATCTGTATGCATGTAGTTACATATCTAGCTGTGTTCATCCATTCCTGCCTGTCTGGTTTCCATATGCTGTGGCAGTAATCACTTGCACAGGGTAGACAAGTCATTTTCCAGACTATTGAGAATCAAGGCCAGAAAATGAAATCATCATTAACATTGGATGGTACGCATGTGTCAGAAGGATTTAGCTGGTTCTTCTTTTGGATATATGTAGTTCTTATTAATCTGTCATAAACTATATCCTCCAAATCATGAAAGCTCTCGTTTTCTTTCCTGGAAGAGGCTGAAGTATAAGTAACTGCAATACAGGATGTCATTTGCCCTAAAGATAGTATTAGTTGAAAGACTGAGCTTGTAAA